TTTTCAATAACATTTTGCTATCTCATCAATTTTTCCAAACATCCAATTTTTTTATCATAAGGGGCGTAAATACGATACTGGTAGTTCCTAGGTTGGTGTCTGCAAGTAGGCTCTACGAGCTCTACCAATACCCCACTTTACCAGTTGCTAACCGGAAGGGAAATGGTACCTCCTCCACGCGTGTTTTCGGTCTTTCACCCCGCACACTCAGGCCAACTTAACAAACTCATCTACACCCCCTAACCGGACTTACCAACGTATTTGCCCCAAAACATTTCCAAAGTTCCCGTCACAACATTACATTTACAAGAGAAGCTCCAATTTTCAAAAAAACCAATTCCCATGATATGCATGGTATTCGTAATGTCAATGCGATAATCAACCATGTTACTTCACGTTTCTCTACATTGATCAAAACCATAATTTACCTTCTATAGAGGTTCATAACCTCCATTTTCTCCCTTCCATGCCATTCCATCAAGCCAAGAGTTTGTCATTTAATACCCATGTGCCACAATAGAATTACACTTGGTGTTTCATTCAACATTTAATCATTTCAAAACATAACAATATGTAAATATCATCCCCCATGTCCCAACATCTTTCATATGGTAAGAAATTCTTCATCAATCAAAATATAGATATGTGTATGAACATTTGTATACATCAAACTTTTCTTGCCCTCTTGTCTACCAAGTCACACTACAATACATCTATCAATATATATATTTATATACGCATATACATACATATCTATAACATCTCATAAGCCTTTCCCCTATTTCCTTCAAGAAAATCCCAAATTTTCTAGGTTTTCACAAAAACTCTAACATTTTCCACCTCTTTTGAAAAACCTCACAACACATCTCAATCTCAACCCATAGGGCTCAACATTTCACAAAATCTTTTAAAAGAAAATAAGATGAGTTCTTCTTCAAACAAAATCAACAATCACTTGAGCCCTAATCCCCATTTTCAAAATACATGGAGGAGTTCACAAAAATCAACCAAAACTTGCATAAACATACATATAATTCAAAGGAAACCCTACCTCAAGCTTTGATGAAGAAAATGATGAAACCCTAGAGTCAAAGGATGAGAGGATCTTGGATTTCCACCACACCAAATGAAGCCCTAGTTCTTGATCTTCAAGATTAGAGGTAGATTATGATGATCTTGACTCAAGATTTGCAAAGATCAAAGTCTTTTGGTGTTTTGAGGAGATTTTCTAGGGAGAAGAAGGAGAAAAATAGGGTTTAGAGTGAGAGGGAAATGTCAAAAGTGAGATACACATTCGGACCAAAAGAAAGAAAAAACAGAGTTTTCGGACTGCCCAGTCTACTGCACATGCAGAGCCCTTTCCCACACGTACGGAACCCCTTTTCCCACATGTGTGGCTATCACCTCTGCACGTGCCTTTTTAGCAGTGTGTGACCCAAAATTTCCCCTGTATTCTGCACGTGCGGCCTAGCCTCCCCCACGTGCGGCCCCCTCCCGCACGTGCGGCCAGTGACCCCCGCACGTGCGGCTGAGTCCAGACAACCCATAAAATTTCCCAGTCCAAGTCTCAACACTCCAGACCTAACCTTGCACTCCTCGGAACAAGTGAAACTCGACACCGAGCGAAACAAGAACAAGAACTTTACCTAGGGAACTATTTCCGAATGTTTCAAATTCAAAGGAAGCAAAAAGGAGAACGAAACAAAGAAAGAAAGAAAGAAAGGAAAGGGAAGAGAGAGACCCGGTCGTCACAGATTTCGTATATGTTTCGAGTCATATTATAGTGTCATGTCAAAAATTTCTACCATAAGTAAGCTTTTGCCTCTTTAATTACTTTTTAGCTAATCAAGTAACAAGGAAAAAAAAAATCTAATTTTGTTTGTATTTGACTAAAAATATTTACACTGAAAAAAATAAATAAGAATTCACTCAACTTTTCCAATAATAAAACCAACTTTTTAAAATTACTATATGGCACTATTAATATGATATTTCACTGAATAAATAAACGTAATACACATTAATTGGATAAATTTTTATCTCTTAACTCCTTAATGAAGATAAGTTAATATGTTTCACCCCCACATTATTGGTTTAAGATACTACATAAATAATGTTATATGATGTTTCAATATTATTCAATAATTATCCTGCCTTTGTGGTTCGCAATTACCCCTTTTAATTGGAGTGGCTGCTGTGCGGGGGTGCATAGTGACTGCTGTGCAGTCAATTGGGCTCTTTTCGGGGCCCATTTTGATAATCCGAACCGTTCATATTTTAGAATACATCAAGTAGAATATATCTGTAAAAAATCAAGTTAATCGGATATCGTTTACCCATTCATCCACACACATTTGTATTCATTTTAATACTTTAAATTACAATTATTATTTATTTTTGTAGATACAAATGTGAGTGGATGAATAGGTAAACGATATTCGATTAACTTGATTTTTTACAGGTATGTTCTACTTGATGTATTCTAAAATGTGAACGGTTCGGATTATCAAAATGGACCCCGAAAAATGCCCAAATGGCTGCACAGCAGCGGCAGCCACCCCAATTCCTTTTTAATGATCACTTCAAATTTTATTTCCATTTTTATTTTCCTCCTCTTTCAAGCAAACCTTTACGAGGCACAAGTTTTTTTTAATTGTTTGGAAAAATTGAGAAGTTGGTAGCATTAAATTAGTTTTAGCTCTAAATGATATATGTTACTTTTTGTAATGATTTCCATGCAATCTGGCACAATACTACTCTTAAAGATTGACATGAGATCTCTATCCTCGAATATCAATGTCTCTCTATTCTAAAACATTTACATCAATTAAACAGCAACTTGAGATTTTTAATAATTGAATGGTCTGCAAGCTTTTTAGACAGGCGGACAAGAGAGTATAAAATTTTGGGCATAAAGAGTGCCTTTAAGTATTGAATTCCACCTCAATTAAGATGGTGAAAACTATACAATAAAATTCTTATTTCGCATGTTTTATTTTATTTTATTTTGCTTTATTTTGTTTTTTTATGGGACATTTCACACGTTTTAACAATAATGAAAAACTCTTAAACATTAAATTAAAATAACTTGTTATTAATCTTTTGCTTTTCATAAACATAAAATTCTAAACTTTTAGGCCACGTTTGTTTGATAGATTAGATTAGATGAGATTGTTAGTGAAAAAATGATTAGTGAAGAGATTGTTAATGTAAGGATTGTTAGTGAGGGGATTAAGTAAAAGTGTGTTTGTTTTGATGATAATATAGAAGATGGTTAGTGATGAGATGTTAAATTATTTTTACATAAAATAAATAAATAAATTACTTTTATATTGAAAAAATTAAAACAAATATTAAAACAAACTGGTGCACTTGACAATATATATATATATATATATAATAGACTTAATCCCTCACTATTTTTCTAATCTCACTCAAAATCTAGCCAAGTTAATCCCAGTGGGATTGCTAAGCCCCTTAGACTATCAATTAGCCCTCCCATTTCACTACCAAACATGCTGTATGTGGGACCCATAGCCATGGTAGTTCAATCCGGCCACTCAAGCAGCGAAACAAACATGGCCTTCTAGATTTGAAATATATTTTTGGGCAAATTACACTAAAAGTCCCTATAGTTTGGGGCTATGTCACTTAGATCCCTGACTTTTAAATTGTAACACATTTGACCATAGATTTTGAATCTTGTTCCAAAAAAAGACAATTGAAGATAATATTGCTCAATTTCAAGGGCAAAGTCATCAATTTGATAAAATATAAACTAATTTGACAAAAATAAATGTCAAAAAAATATTTTTGAATTTTAAAAAATTATTTATACCCACCAAAGATAAAATTATGTAAAATTGATAAATCTTTTACACATTTATTTATTTTACCAAATTAATTTTTATTATGTGTTTGGATGATGATCATGTAATGGGTGGTTGTTTTTATTTTCATTAAATTAGTTTTCACTTTTTCACAAAGTGAAATATGGTAACAATTTTGATATTATTATTAAATCAATCCATTAAATCAAAAAAACAAAAAACTAAAAACATTTCATATATTAAATACATCTATTACACATTAAAAGTCTAACAACCACCCATTACATGATCATTATCCAAACACATAATAAAAATTAATTTAGTAAAAAAAATAAAAATAAATGTGTAAAAGATTTGTCAATTTTACATAATTTTATCCTTGGGAGATAGAAATAATTTTAAAAATTTAAAAATATTTTTTTTGACATTTAATTTTGTCAAATTAATTTATATTTTATCAAATTAATGACTTCGCCCTTAAATTTGAGCAATGTTATCTAAAATTGTTCTTATTTGGAACAAGATTCAAAATTCAAGGTCAAATGTATTACAATTGAAAAATCAATGACCAAAATGACACAAATTCTAAATTATAGGGACTGTTAGTGTAATTCGCCCAATATTTTTCTTAAAAGTTAATTGTAAAATTTCACATCCTATACATTGTGCGGGCATAACACTAGTTTAATACGATTATCTCAAGTTCATTGTATACCCCACTTGCATGGATTAATTTTGCGAATTACATTGATAGTCTATACTTTGGTTTTTGTATCATTTTAATCTTTGTAGTTTTAATCAACTCAATATTTTGACTTTCAATTTATAACTTTGTCTCAATTTGATTTAATTGATTACAACAGTTAGCATTTTTTTTATTATGAATAATGTACACATAAGTGTTTTGTATGATGCTTTTAAGAATAAATTATAAACTCGATCAATTCAATGAATTAAGTTCAACCAACTCAGTAATAATTTTCCTTCAAAAATCTTGATGATATTATTTAATTGGACCAAATTGAACTAAAATCTAAAATTAAAGGTCAAATTTGAATTAATAGAAAATATAACATTCAAAACGAAACAAAGGACGAAATCTAGGCACTACTAGTATAATTTGCCATTTTTACTATATATCATAAATACATTCATGAGTCTTTCCACCAATTTCTCAACTTATACGTGGTATTAGTAGAGTTTTGATTTCTACTTCCTCCTTATACAAATAATTCATCTCTTCATAGAACTCTTTCTTGTATCCCTAGAAAAGGCATCCTTATAGATCCAATCCACAAACTTCCATTTATCTCTTCAACTTCACTAACAAATTTCCATTCATTTCTTCTTTTATCTTCCAACATTTCCAACACTTCCCCATCCTCAATGCCAATCCACACACTCTCCATTTTGGAAAATATGAATATAATTTTGTAATGTCAAAAGGAAATTTAATCAAACTATTTCCTACCCAATGATATGACAGAAGCAATTTCAAAATCTTCCCTCTCTTCGCATGAAATTGCAACCTAAAACTTTCCCTTGAGGTTCCTCCTAATGTTGTCTAGAAATCCCGGGAGATGGGCAAAATCTTCAACTAGTCCGGGTTTTGATGATTTGAGCCACAATCTCAAGATTTTGCAATTAGTGGTGTCTGCAACAACGAGAATGAAATCACCATCTTTGCTTAGTGCTATTCCGTTTGGAAATGTGAGGTTTTCAAGAAGAACTGTTGTTTTCATGCTTTTTGGATCATATTTCATTAGCCTTCTTGTTTTGTCGCCGCTAACTATCACAGAGATGTAGTTTCTGCAAATTGGCATGTACAATTTCTTAATGTTAATGTGAAAATGACATAAATTTTTCCACTAAACTAAAGAAGAAGAATTTGATAATTAAACATCGCATAACTTACCACATGCCCTCCAATGGAACATGTTATGGTTCACTAGATTGGGTAATAGAATTACATTTATACATTTCTATTTTTATTGAAGCTCCTATGAATGCTAATTTTAATTAAATTCTAGAAACACATGAGTGATTGAAGTCCATTTTCTTTCCAACTTAAGGAAAAAAATTTCATGATTTTGATTGCATGATTCTAACATGCAGTGAAAAAACATGTGATTTTATCACTGCCCCAACAATGTTGCTCTAGTCTCAATTTTCCTAGAAGGATACAAGGTTTTCCATTTATTTATTTATTTTTGCACGTAGAGTACCAAGCTTTGCTCTAGTCTAGTAATTGAACCGGAGGACTAATTGAAGGGTTGTGGGACCATCTCAAGCCCATTTTTCTTATCTAAACTATTTATATTTAATATTTCTCAAAAAAAAAATTATTTATGCAAAAAATAAGTTGATCGTATATTGATAGCAATATGATAGGATTATATTTGTGTTTTTAAAAAAGAAATAGGCCATGTATTGTCAAAATCAAATTTTTAATTTATTTTTTGTAAAAGAAATGCAATCTAATCATGTAGCTACTGATATCTAGTCCATTTTTGTGATCTAAACTATTTATATTTAATATTCTTCAAGAAAATTATTCATGTAAAAAATTAAGTGGAACAGATATCAATAGTTACAAGATTATATTATATTTGTTTTTACAAAAAGTAAATCACAATTTTGATTTTAACAATACACGGTCTATTTTTTTTTTTTTAAAAAAAAACATATATGTAATCCAATCATATGACTATTAATATTCGATCAATTTATTTTTTTATATGAATAATCTACGTACAAGATAAACAATTTGATAATTAAAATGGGCTTGAGTGAGCCCCCTTCAACTGTACACTCTAGTCCAAGAGGGAAGCCTCTTCTTTTTGTTAAAAGCCTATGAGAACTTCAAACTTGCTGGGCTTCCCAATTACTACAGGAAATGTGTGATTTAACAGTGCTTTTTTAACGGAGTGTTTTTAAACGCCACATTTTTTAATATTTAACGACGTTTTATAAACGTCGCATTTTAATTTAATAAAATGGTACCGTTTAACGTTTAAAAACGCCTTCAAATGTATCCCACTCTCACACGCTCTCTCTCCCTCTTCAAGAGTCCGGATCATCTGCCGCACTTGTTTGCGGCCCTCCTAGCGGCGCTTAAAAACGACGTCGTTTTTAATAATTTTTTTTTCCTTCTTATTTTGGTTTTCAGCCCCTTTTCCTTTTCATTTTTGAACCCTAGGAATTCAGGTGATCGAGTCGTCTGAATTTGACGAACTCGGTCTGGTAAGATCCTGAGAATTTCTAGGCGTTCGGCTAATTCTTTGGCTTGCTCTGTCGTGAGTCTCGCAGCGAAACCGTAAAAAACAGTCTTGTACACATGAATGAAATCTCTCTATTTTTCTCTCTGGGTGGTTTCGAACTTTTTCGAGTCTGATTGGTATGAACTGAGACTTGCAATGGTGGAACTGCACCAATCTCCACGTTGGAAAACCCAGATGTTTTCAAGTCGTTTCGGACTCTGACAATAAAGCTTTGGAATTGGATGTCTTGGACATTGGTGGAGATGGCACAAAAACAGAGCAAAAGAGTAGTGAAATTTTTTTTGATTTGTTTTTGTATTTGTATTTGTATTTTGCTATTTTGATTTGTATTTTACTCTGATTGGAATGATTTTGATTTGTATTTTGCTATTTTTTGGCTAATCCCCTGTTTATTTCAAGATTTCCACACAAAAAATTTCATTATCTTCATCTGGGTTTACATGATTACTATTTCAAATATTCCTTTATTATCAAATTATAATTGAAAAAAACACTATTAGGTATAGTATGACTCTGTTTAATTGATTGGCTTTTTTCTCATCATTATCTTCTAAATCTTTGGCTGTTCTTTACAGAGAGTGGGTGTGATTTGGTTATTCTTTACAGAGAGTGGGTGTGAATCTGGGTTTATTTTCTAATAGGTGTGATTTGGTAGTTTTTAGAGAGAGAAAAGTGGAAGAAGAAGGAGATGGTGGGTTTGGTAGTTTTTATAGAGAATGGGTGTGAATCTGGGAGTTTTTACAGAGAAAAAAGAGGAAGAAGAAAGAGATGGTGGGTTTGATAGTTTTCATAGATAGAAAGGAAGAAGAAGGAAAGGAGATGGAGAAGAAGAGGGGATTGGTTTGGTTCAAAAACGAAAAGGGCCGGAAAAAAAAAATAAAACCAAAACGACGTCGTTTTGGAGGGCTGCTGGAAGAACAGCTACAAGAAATAGCGGCACATGATTCAGACTCCCCTCTTCAAACCCTCATTTTTTAGAAACCCTTCTTCTCACCCTCACTCACTCAAATCTGAGAAACACAAGTGTATGAATCTCACTCTCTCTCTCTCGCTCTCTTTCTCTCTCTCTAAACCCTTAAAGTGATTTCGATTTCAATTTTGAAGTTCGGTAATCCAATCTCAGAGTGATTTCGATTTCGTAGAGCAAAATAGATTTCATAGAGCAGAATCGATTTCAATATCGATTTGGAAGATACGATTCAACCTTCTTCAGCTCGGTGATTTCGATTTCGAAGTTCTCTCTCTCTCTCTCTCTCTCGATTTCGAAGCACAACCACCACACCACCATCTGCAGCGTCTACTAAAGTGAGCACTACTGTCTACAATCTCGATTTTGATGTCGAAGTTCTCTCTCTTTTCCTCAAGATCTTCATTCCATTGATTATTCTCCTAGGGTTTACAATCTTGAATCTCCTCCTAGGGTTTGGATTATGGTCGTGATGGAGAAATATTTTCAATTATTATCTGTTGCAATAGATTCCTTTCCAAACAATACTTGTGATAATGATGGAAATCTTTTGCTTGAAGGATGCTGGATGATCTGAATCAGCTTTTTATTACATTGGATGTGAGGTCAGATTGTGTGTCATATCATCATTTTTATCGCAACTTTACTTTTTGTTGTGCTTAAATATCTCTATTGTTTAAATGTTTTTTTGATTACATTTCAGTCCCTTTGTTTGCGATTTGATATGTTAGCAGTGGGTTAATGCATATCAGAGGCACAAGTTAATAAATTTTAAGGCTGATTTGCATCTGTTATTTGTCGAACAAATGGAACCTTCTCTTATCTGGAGACATGGAATTTTAAAACTTTGTTGTGCTGATAATCTTCAAACTTTTTAAACAATAAATAATTTTTGAATCTCTTATCTTTTGTATTGATAATTTTCAAACTTTGAGATATTACAGTTGTCTGTCTCTGCTCTTCTTTCCTTTTCTTTCCAGATTCTCTTTTCCCATTGTTTCTTATTCTTATTCTTTACTGCTATCTTGTTATAGCGTTGGTACATGTAATGTGTGTCAAAATTGCTTCTTCATTTTTTCAAATATGCTGAAAATTTTATGTTCTCTTCTCTTCCTTGTTTTTAAGCCTCAGTGGGCGAGAACTTGAGGAGGACAATGACAATATCTCAGCAATCAGTGAACTCTTGAAGAGGTTGCAGTTAAGAAGAGCAAGGGCGGAACTTTGATTTTGTATTGCATGATGACTGTTTGTTCTTTCCTTTTCCAAAAATAATAATTATTTTTTATTTTGATGCATTTGTGATTTGTGATTTATGAGTTGCTTGTCCAATATTTTTTATATCATGGAGATATATTGTTTTGTCAAATCTTGATACTGGACAGGAGGAAGCATGGGTTGAACTATCTAGATAAAGCTCCCCTATTGTATTTTGTGACAAAACAGGTAAATATTTTTTGTTCTGTTTTCAATTTTTGTTGGCTGCAATCTTTTATTTTTTTATATACTAATTATACAATAAAATAAAATACCATATGATAGGGAGAACTGAGATCCCTCTGTATCATCTAAACTTTAAATCATTATAATAGCTCAATTTCTAACCATAACTTTTAAGTCATGTCCTCAATTTCTATTGGCGATGCCATAAGCCCCTCTTAGATTGTTCATGAGATAATTTAATTTGGATTAGACTGTTATCAGATTATTGGTTAAAGATCTCAATAACGTAAGTTGTGGCAGCAACCAAGTCATACCCAGGACTGTTGGCGGCAATACTAGTTGTGGACTTGGGAGGGTGATTTTGCAACTCAGGCTAGATGAGAAAATGAGCTGGACAGCGACCATGAATCCAGGCTTTTGAGGCCTCTTTAACGCAAGGTGATTGCATTTTTTTCCTTCTGCTAAAGTACTCCACGGTCTCCACACTGGTTTTATATTTCTCATTGTGTTGTTTTTACTTGTATCTTTCACCCAATATTTCACAAACCACAATGCATGTTTACTCCCTATGCATTTCCATCTTGGTTCAGATCTGACACCAGTGACCTAAACAACACTACCGAATCCACCATGATCAGACATACTCTGTCCTTTGTAGTTACTGAAATCTTATCCATGATTCAGATTTACGTGAGGTTGATTCGAATGAGACAATGGACTTGATCTCCAATCAAAAGATTTAGATCTACAAGACCTGAAGTTGATCTTCTGAGGCATCTCTGAAATCTGAAGCAGTTGACTTTGTTGATTGCTCATGTTCACTAACGAGAAACTGAGGTGATGATTTATATATATATATGCATACTTACGTTCACCAACGAGAACCTGAGATGATGATTTATATATATGCATGTATCAATGTTTATATTTGTTTGTGTGCGAATATATATCAATTTATGTTACTAAAAATTGTAGATTTTATTATTTCAAATGATTTGACTTAGGTACTGTGAATTCATTTCCTCCTTGTGGATTGTTATTAATTTTTAAAGTCCGTGATGATTTGGAACCAATGACTACTATAGTGTGCTGGCATTGGAACAAATTGAGTCACATCTTCA